AAGACTAGGCTAAGATGGTTTACAAAACTTGTTTAAAGTCTGAGAGTAAACATATATGCAATGCAAAGGCACGCAACATAGACACACCCAAACCACTACTCTGAACAGGGGCAAATTTAATTTCTTAGCCAAGTATCATCGAGACAAAAAAAATGAGTAAAGACGGCCCCAGAATGCTGGGCCACAGTGAGCAGAGCCAGAACCCCCAAGACACTTAACAGTCTTCACACCTGGTCGCTGTCAAGTTTTGTGACGGTACACAGAGGTGTATATTTTCCCCAAAAATCAGACTGCTGAAAACCCAGAAAGCTATAGCAGCATTCCTCCAGAACCAACATAATCCCTCACTGACTCACTTGGGGGAGATAATGCTGACTTATTTTGTTGTCCCTCCATTTATTTTTTCCCATTTCACAACTTTGGCGCTTAAGCAGCAGCAGCGCCATCTACTGGTTTGTTTCATCAACAAAAAATAAAGTCCCCCAGTTATTACTGGAATTCTGCATCATTTACGAAAATAAAATTAAACAAAAACAAATACATCATATTCTGAACCTGTTAAAAGGTCATTTTTAATGTTTTATGTAGGTTTCAGACCAATCAGACAAATGTGGTCTTGGCAGTTTACTTAATGTCTCACAATGGCAATACCAAGGTCATTTAGCAGGGCTGCCCAATTCCAGTCCTAGACCACAGACCTTAATCAGCTAATTGCCAGGTTGAGTAGGCGTGTCTGAGCAGGGAAATCTACAAACTGTGTTGTACACTAGCCCTCCAGGACTGGAACTGGGGAACCCTGTCATTTAGTATTAGATTCTGGGATCTATGAAGGATGAAATTGTTTGAAAACCAGAATAGCTTCCAATGCTAAATATCTCAAATTTCACTCACCTCAACATTCCAAACAAGCACCAGTCCATCATCTCCACCAGAGGCAAACCTTAAAAAAAAGAGAGAAAATACATATAAACAATAACACACCAATAAAACATTTATTAAATCTTTTAGAAAAGATGCATTTATTAAGACCATTAATATATACTGAGGTATCTACAGTACCAGTCAAAAGTCTGGACACACCAAAGTATGAAAGATCTATTTGTACTATTCACTACATTTTAAAATAATTATATAGACATTAAGACTAAAATAATAAACATAATTGTGCACTGACCAAAAAAATATTATAGAAATAATAATAATTTGTTGAGGGGGGTGGGGCAGCTCTGTGGGTTGGAACTCAGAAGGTTGCAGGTTAAAATCCTTGGGTGGGCAGAGTGATCCCACCATTTACCTCTTGAGCAAGGTTGTTAAGCCCAACTGCTCCAGGCACTGGCTGAACCTACTTTCTCCTCTAAGCCAGTTCCATGAGGTGGCCTCCTGGGATGCTTTCCCAGCTGTCCTGAAGGTGGTCCGCATATATGCTAAGCACTCATTAGCTGTATTTCCTTCACTCTCTGGTCAATTCCTCCAAAAGGGTGGCTTCATTTTTCCAAAGTTTTGACTGATACTGTACAAAATAATGCACATTGTATTCGTAAATTTCCATAAGCACTCAGCTATGATTGGGTGAAGGTGAGCCTGGAGACTACACCAGGAAGTCCAGAGCATGAGAGTGGTGACACCAATGAACAGTACATGGAATCTGCCCTGAATGGACAGAAAGTGCAAACTCAACACACAGGGACAGCCATGGCAGGCAAGGAACCTCCAAACCCATCAGGCATGATGCTACTGAGCCATCATACCACGTGATCAGGGTAGTCGCATGTAACATGTCATAAAGTGTAGCATGTGTCACATCATCCGCAGAGAGGTTTCACTGCTGGGCCCTTGAGTAAGGCCTTTAACCACAATTACTCCAGGGACCTTGGCTTCTACATTGCACACCACTTCGCAAATGTCATCAAGCCAATAACAATGCACTGCAAACCTGACGCAAAGCTATTGCTTTCAAATGTACAGCTAAAGTAATTAAATAACTAAAGGGAAAATGGTCTAATAGCCAAACAGAAGTTTAAAAAATACCCATGGCAGTCAACTGACTACGGGATTTTCACAAAACTCAAAATTGGCAAGCCATAAGCAGGCAGGATTGCGCTCTATGCCACATCACCGCTGGCTGTGCTTTATCTGAACTGCTCTTTTGCACTTGTCTCATTAGTAAACGACACCACGCTGTTTTAACCCCTGATTATCATGTCGCTTAGGCGTCATCCGCTACCAGTAGAGGAGGCACATTTACAGGCGCTGGTGGGAGTCAAATGCAATCCGCAAGAGCGATCTGGGCCATCAGATTCTCCTTCTCATCAGATCAGAGTCCGCCACGCCGATTTCCACAGTAATGAAACAAAGAAAGTTTGCAGCAACCAGAGCATAAAATATTGCCTGGTCGGCAGGAAATGGCCATCTTTGTGAAGGAGCAGTATATCAAGCTCCATGTCGTCCGGGTTTCATGAAGGACTTTTTCTATGTCACTGGCTGTCCTTTGACACTAACCACTCCCAGAAACTCGTTCCTAAACCAGCTCGTAAGATACTAGATAAATGGAAGGGGGGTAGGGCGGGGGGGTGTCAGAAAAAGGAACTGTCAGGATGATTGACAAAGGATATGACTCAGAATCCAATCTAAAAGAAAAAACTTCAATCTGTGGTCCTAAGTCCTGTTAAAGATGAGAGAAGCCATGTGCTCAGACTCCAATAATAAATGATTACTGGGGGAATGGAGGTGTGAAATCTACCTCAAACCCCACCCCCAACTCCCCCCCACCCATCGACAGGCAGACAAATTTTGTCGATTTGCTGATCTGGCACTAACTGCAAAAGGTCACTACTAGACAATCAAATTTCCAGTCCTACACACCCACTTTGAAAACCCAAGCTCCTGTCCCCCCCCATGCTGGATAAGTGGCTGAAGAAGGGCTGGGTGGAAGATGTATACTTGAGTCATTAGTTACCCCGTCTAGAGCAAGTAGGGATGTGCAAAAATTGTTAAGAAGAAGCTGCTAATCATCACTTGCAATCTGTCTGATCGAAGGAAAGATCTGGCAAAGGAATGATAGTCCTTGACGCTGAAGAAGATTCCCACTTACCTGACGTCATCAATCTGCACCAAAAAGCGAACAATGTCAAAATGACCTTTGAGCACCTGCAGCTCTGTGTACACATTTTTGGGCTGTTCATCTCCGATGACCAGTACAGTGTTCTTCTGCAGATATTAAAAACACACACACACTTCCTTGTAGAAAGTCTTACAGGTCCACAGTTTGTTCTTTGGTTTACAATGCAAACTTACAAGTAAAAGATATTATGAACCAAAAAAAATATTTAAAGAAAAAACTATAATTGATATAGTTTTCTTAGATTATTTTAAAATTCAGCTCGATGAAAAGTATCACAAATAAACATAACATAGTAAATATTTGTTACTTCCCTTCAAATAATTAATGATAGTGGACAAAACGGTTATGATTGCTCGGGGTTTTTGATTTTCTGATCAATGCGTCCTCCGATACTCACTTCCACGGCACCTTGCACTTCGCGGCCACCAAGGATCCACCGCAACATCTCTGAGTCTGCTGCTCTGCTAAGCCGATTAGATTCTGCGAGCAAGATTTTAAAAAGACCTTTGAATACTTAATTACAGTTAGGCTATCTTCCCTATTCAGAAATATAATCATACTGTAATATTAAAGTATAATTACATTAATTTAAAAAATAATACATAAGAACACATCGTGAGCACTGACCGCTTATGCACATATATCACAATCAGCTGTTCAGTTATCCTTAGACTTCCGTGATAATATAGGTAGATCATTAAAATTCGTATTCGTGTAATTTCTAGGTAGCTTTTTGTAGCCAACTGATCGCATTGCAATCGAATAACTTACATAATCTTAATATATTACTTAACGTATATGTAAAAAATAAACTCAAAGTAGCAATGTAATACACAGACAAGTTACGACCAAATGGAAAGAATCGGGCGTAACATTTTGTTTCAAACACAACCGTATCGGCGCAAGTTCTCCGGTCTGCACTGTACTGAGATCGGACCATGTCATGTTCGGGACCCTTCAAGTATTAATCCTGTTCTTATGGCCATCAGCGTAGCTGGCGAGCTAGGCAGTTACACGGCAAATATACTACTCACGATATGTCCGATTTACTACAGGATTCGGTTTCTTATTGGTTTTGACGACTGATTCAGAATGAGCTTACCCTCTGCAAATCACAGACTGTTCAGAAGTAAATTACGATATTAATTCAACCGCTGTCGCCAGGATAATAACATTTCTACAGTTTTGCTACCGCAACAAATCCATTCATGTGACTTGAACTACGGAAGCTCTGAGAGACAAACATTTCCTCATGAAGGCTTTTTTCCAAACGCGAGAAAATGTGTCTGGGCGCAGGTCTCATCTATGCGCCCACACAAGAGGGTCTAGCTGCAGACGCCTGTAGAGTGGAGCTCTACCCGAAATACGTCACCTCCACAGGAAACACGTGATCTTTAAGGACGTAAAGTGGAGCTCCGGTTAGGGTTAAGGTTAGGGTTAAGGTTAAGGTTAGGGTTTATTCGCTGTGACACAGAGTTGAGGCCACGTGTTTCCTGTAGAGGTGACGTATTTCCGGTGGAGCTCCACTCTACACTCTACAGGCGTCTGCAGCTGGACCCTTCTCCACGACACTCCAGTATGCAACATTCGTCACTTCCGTCTTCCGAAGTGAAAAGCCGACCACAATTCTTTTCAGATTAGGTTCCACATGTGAAGTTAAACAAGGAAAATATTTCACACTTTAAGTTAGCTCCACATTCTCCAGCAATATGAATTAAAAATACAAAGCAAGAGGGGAATATCCTTCTGCTCACACAAAACTGCCGGAAAATTTAGGGACCGTCTTGAAAGTGCAATGCCAATCAGCATAAGACCACTTGTACAGTATGTGTCCTATAACCGTGTATCAATATTGCAGTTGGATAAATTGTAATAACTCTTTATTTTTTAAACCAATCAACATCAAACCAAATTCAGTGTGTTCCCCTGACCCTCTCCCATCATTCACACCCTATGAGGAAATTTTCACACCCATCTGTTTTCCAGAACACTAGCTCTATGTGTCATATAGCCGTCTATCAATATTGCTGTTGGATATATTGTAATACCTCCTTCATTTTTAAGCCAATCAACATCAAACCAAATTCATTGTGTTCCTCTGGCCCTCTCTCATCTTTCACACCCTATGAGGAAATTTTCACACCCGTCTGTTTTCCAGAACACTAGCTCTATGTGTCCTATAGCCGTTTATCAATATTGCAGTTGGATAAAATGCAATAACTCTTTCATTTTTAAACGAATCAACATCAAACCAAATTCAGTGTGTTCCACTGGCCCTCTCCCATCTTTCACACCCTATGAGGAAATTTTCACACCCATCTATTTTCCAGAACACCAGCTTTATGTGTCCTATAGCTGTCTATCAATATTGCTGTTGGATAAATTGTAATACCTCCTTCATTTACCCCCTTCAGAATTGCGCATGCGCGTGTCTAGAGCTGCCTGGTAGAGGGAGGTGCCCGTATATTAGAGGTCTGAATAAGGGAGGTTTGACTGTATTTCCATGCTGAGAAATTTGTACAGTTGGGAGGGGAGTTGGACAGCACAGCTCTGGGAAATAAAGTGTTTTTTATTGTTTGTTTTATATTAATGATATTTCAGTTCATATATAGATGTAATTTATATTACCTTTGAGTAATAATGACTTATTATTTCAGTCAATTGCTACATATGTTTTATATTGTGCATATATATTGTGAAAGTATTTTGTTGAATTATAAAGATGTTTGGATGTCAGTCAAATTCTAATAAATTATGTCCTTCATATTTGTACTTGGCTGAACTTCAGCATATTAGTCTAATGATATTGAAACGATTGACAATTTGTGAAAATATTGATGATTTAATGTCTTTAACTGTGTAGATGAAGATGGGGGGATATATCCACCATTACGTTTCTATAAAAATCTCCTATGTAAATACAGTTTTCTTTACAACGATAAGGCTGCCTGGCAGTTAATCTGTGTTTAACATTCAGTACAGCAGACATAATCAAACAATTAAACCTGGCCCACCGATCCCAGGGCGTCAATTTAGGTATGGACGGTAGGGACATGTGGCAGTACCATGTGTGTTTAGGGGGCAATACCATATTAACTTATTTTTGTCTAATAATCTATAGACTGGGCCATCCAAGCATTTGAGGCGCCCTAGGCCAGCTTCACCATCAAGTAATTCTGACCACTACACACTCGATATTGTCTGTGATGTCAAGATTGGATTGACTCCCCCTTCCAATATCAGTAATCAGTACTGATAACTGGCTAACCTCTGAGCTCCACGAATCTGTAGTGAAAGTGAGGTTGCTAACATTATTTTTTAAGATCTCCGGGGGTGCGGCTAGGAGGCTATTGTGAGAAAAAAGGTGAAGGCTAGTCTCGGAGATCTACTCAAATGCATGGTTTAGGGTACAACCTGATGACATCAACCCCTCCTGGCCAAGGCTACATTCACTCAAGGTGAATGAAGGCAAGAAGCATCTTAGGATGTATATGTAATCTAAAGGAACTCTGGGAGTGACTTCCAGGAAAGTCTGGATGGCAACCGAGGAAGGTCGGTGATGCTGGAAAGACAGTTGACCTCCCGGAAAGACTGGCGTGGGTGTATGAGGCTAGCAACCTCATCCACGACACTCGCAAGAGGGCACCAAGTCAAGCTGCGGAAAGTATTACAGAGCAATACCCCCAAAGTCTCCCGAGAGGGGGGGAGGATGAGAGGCTCGACAGAACAGACACAATGGTTATGGCCAGGAAGAAACTACGGACACAGAGACAGCTCACCCAAACAACATTAACCGGGAAGGTATTGGAAGTAAAGTGCCATTGCAGAAAGATTTGCAAGAACAAAAGAGGGCTTAAGATACACTAAAGCCGAACCAACTGTGGAAAAGAAGTGTCACGGGTGCAGCGCACAGCGGTAGCACCTGGTGAGATGCAAGAGAACTCCAGGCAGGAAGCACCTCACAGCACTGGAGATCTCTGTGTCACCTCAAGACCTCAGGAGGGACCCACCTGATGCCAGCCCAGGGAGCCATCCCAGCCTGCAAGGGACCAAATTAAATGGCCCAAAATGAGCGACAACAAAGAGTGGTACCAACTAGACCAAGATCTCGACAAAGTGCTGGAAGCCACACTAGCAGGGACAGCTGAGGAGAAAGTCAATACTCTCACAACAATAACCTACAACCTGGCAAGAGAGCATTTTCGATTTGAGGAGAAGAAAGCCAACGTCAAGTCTGCACACCAGCCACGCAGAAGAGAGAGGGAAATCCACCGGCTGAGGAGAGAAATCAAGACTCTCAACAAACAGTTCAAATGAAAGAGAAGGCATCAAGGATCTGACGAGTTAACTCCAGGAGCGCCTCTGTAGACTTCGAAGAGCAGAAAGCACTCAGAAGAAGAGGAAGGATGGGGAGAACAAAAAATCCCAGTTCACCAAAGACCCCTACCGATTCACCAGAACACTACTGGATGAAGCCAAATCTGGGAGGCTGACCAGCCCCAGAGAAGATGTGGAGGCGTTCTTGAGGGAGACCCACAATGACAACATATCCAGGAACCAGGCCCTGAATGCCAACCCAAGCATCAGCAGCACAAAAACCCCATACTCAGCTGTTTTTCTCTATTTATATTTTTATATTTTCTATATATACTATGATGGTTGCGTCTCTACTGAACATGTTTGTCTACTGAACAATTTTTTTCTTGTCATTATTCCCTAGACAACACAGTATAACAACTATTTCCCTAGTATATACATTGTATTAGGTATTATAAATTAACTAGGGATACGCAAATACTGCTACATTTTATACAAGGGACATTACCATCCACAGATTTTGGTTTCCGGGGGGGTCCTGGTACCGATCCGGAGGGACGACTGTATATTTAATTACTGTTGTGTGATATGCAGTGTCGTGACCAACGAGTCGGGGTGGGGGAACCCACAGGCGACTGATGAGGCATCGGAGGCAGGGCCGAAAGCAACCGATGAGGCATCGGAGGCAGGGCTGAAAGCGACCAACGTGGCATCAGAGGGGGACCCACAGGCGACCGCCAAGCAGGAACCCAGGGAACCGCAGGCAGCAACCGAGCAGAACCCGGAGGACCCCTCGAGCCACAGCCATGGAGACCAAGGGCGAGCCAGGGGGCAGGATGGGTGGGACCCGACCCCAGCACAGGTGTTCCCTTCCTTTTCAGGAGACCAAGAGGCGGGGACCCAGCCGGAATCTGTCCTGCTGTGGTGGTGGAGGAGTCACTCCCCCGGAGGGGCCCAGTGAGGCCATCAGGGAAATCCCAGAGGGGTCCCATTTGAGCTCCTCCTCCTCCAAGGGGGTTGGGCAGTCTGGGACCTCCTCTGGGACAGGGACTGGGATCCTGGGAGCTGATGGTGCAGGAGCAGGGTCAGGAACTGGGGGGACTGGAGCCGGAAGGGACGGAGCCGGAGGGTCAGGATCCTTGGAGGGCAGAGCAGGAATGGGTGGATCAGGAGCCTCAGGGGGCAGAGCAGGTGTCACAGGGGCAGGCCCCGTGGGGGCAGAGCATCAGCTGCTGGTGCAGGAACCGCAGGCCCCGGAGCTTCTCCCACCTAGGGAGCCTGTGCCGTCCTCAACAAGAGCAGCTTCTTTAGGGTCATTTCTGCATTCTCCAGTGCCTGTGGGGGTGAAGCTGGAGTGATTGCAGAATCCAGGCAGCCCCTGGGGAATCTCTCACGGCTGGTTCATCTATTACCCGCCAATAGAGACCCTCGAGGGTAAGAGGCGTCTAGCCAGGGTCTCGGATGTAGGTGAAGCAGCAGGTAGACGAGCCTCAGGTTTTTTCTTCAGAGAAGCAGCAGCGGTGACTTCAGGCATGAACACCGCCGTGTTCAGGATAGGAAGGGGTTCCTCCCGACACCTGGCAGGGAAAGCAACGGGGATTGAAACAGTTCGGAAGAAGACCTCCGGCTTGTCTTCTTGCTTCTGGCTTTTCCGCTTCTTTTTCCCCCTGGAGCATCGAAGTGGAGCCGGGGGCAAATTGGGTGTGTCCGCTGGTGGATGACTAGGTAGTCCGCTGTTTTGGGTTATCTGCTGCAGCACAGACTCCACTACTCCATTTCTCAGCAGCCGTATGTTTTCACGCAACTCATCAGCTAGGTGCATGTCTTTCAGCAGGGACATCCCCTCAAGGATATCCTGGCTTCGTCAAGCTAACGCTCAAGCCGCGAGATCCTCCTGGACCTCGGGCTGGGTTAGCCAGTAGAGCACCTCATCTATCATGTCGAGGTACTCCTCCTCGGTGAGGTGCGGTGATCCTTTGTGGAGTTCTGTCATTCTGTCTAACCGGAGAGCAGCGAACGGTTGAGGAGCACTTTCAGCCACAGGC